CGTATATTAGGCATCAGCAATAGCAATAACAATTATTACCCTGAGAAAAGGACTTTATGGGAGAGAGACGTGGAATCGTGGGAATGGGGAACACGACGCGGAAGGGGTGAGATTCCTGAAGTCACTGGTGAAATTTTGTCCAGGCTATTAATGGACTTTGGTCCCTTTGAAATTTTATTAGCCATAAAATTGACAGCATGTTGTGCTATTTCTACTGCCTGCGCTTTTTAAAGGTTTTATTTCTTTTTAAACAAGCCCCCAAACAGTCAGCACACAAGTTTATGTTTATTCTCTAATAGTCAGAAATAACTGGAAACGGACAGAGCAGGTGTCACCATCAAAAGCCTCCCCAAGGAATGTATAAATATATAAAAACCTCAGAGGCTCGTCAACCTAGCATGAATGCGGAGTCCTGCTCTTAGGAGAGCCGGACTTGTGCTCTCCCGTCTTTTTAGCGCTCTCCTCTTAATGTTTATGGTTCCTGCACTTTCAGGAAATGACCCTTTTATAGGGTCAACACTATAAAAGACTTGTGTTTTCTGTTTTTTTTTTTTTTTTTTTTTTTTTTTTTAGTGGGAGTGGTTGGTGGATGAGTGTGGGGGGGTAGTGCTGTTTAATCTACTACCGTTTCTCCTTTTCTGCCAAAGAAAGAGACCTGATGAGGTTAATTGGCTCCTCGTCCAATATATCACATTGCTGTGAACCCTGTGACCCTTTTTGTCAATAGGGGGATTTTTCTCCAGTGTGTGTGGGTGTATGTATATGGTGATGGTGGAAGGCTGTGAGACTCCTTGCATTCCACTTTACCATCACTCCCCATTTCAAAATCGAGGGAAATACATTATTGTCTCATTCTTGAATCCTGAATTCCTAAAGCACTAGTCACAACTTCAGCGTCAGTATATTTCAAATCCCAGGTTATCCCCGTGGATGAAAATGCTGAGAAACACACTGCAAACTTATAACTTTACATCTAGTATCAGTCATGCAAGAAGAGCTTAAAAATTCCTTGTTGGTGTGAGATATGACCTGTAATTCATAATGCCCAGTGCTGAGAGGATGTGCGTGTAGAATGTCAATATGTCCTTAAATATGAATGACTGACGAGAGTCATATTTAAATAACACTTTTGTACAACAGCAAATTTGTAGCTTCTTTCAAGGACTGGATTTTCATTCCTCTAACTAAAACAGGCCATTATATATCTCTTTATCCAGACATAGCTTTTGGGATATTCACGATTTACAGCTGTGGATCAGCCTCAGTAATAAATTAATGATAATCTGAGATAAAATTGCACCAAACTGTGTGAGCGTTCAGTGATTTTGGGCTATGCTCCTCGAGTAGGTTACAGTGGTCGGATGTATTATGAATAGATGCTCGATTCCAGGTGTGTGCTAATGTGCTACAATTACCATAAGCTGCCAATTACTGAAATCCAGAAGGGGAAATGACAAATTATCAGCAAACGTTTTCAAATGTACAAAGTTCTGGCTGTTAAAGAAAGGGCATTGATGAGAGAGGAAGGCCTGGTTTTAACGCATGGACAAGTGACAAATGAGGGCCTTGCAGGGTCACCACCTCACCAGGGCCAACGCATAAGTTCCAAAACACTTGGCCTGCCTCCTATGGAACACCCATAAAAGGGCAATTTGTACAGGACCCAGCAACAAACACAACTCAAACTCATACATGCACATTTTAGATATTTTATTATATTATAATGAATCCATTTTTCATAGTCAAAATATGCATTATATGAATTTTTGTAATGAATGTGAAGTACTGTACTATGCAATATTACATAAATGTAATTATATTATAGATCAGTTCATTTTCATGAAATGTGACCAAATGCTACCCGTATATAATGTGACTGGTGGCTTTGACCTGCATCCTGAGCCCACGAGAGTATTTAAAGGCATTGTCAGAGGGGAAGGAGTGGGGATCATGCAGAGTAGTCATGCTGGATTGGCCTGCTGCTGCTTTTGATGGTCTTTAACTGAGGACCAGAAACGCAGAATTCTCCTGTGGGATCCGTTACTGTGCCACAGGCGAGAATGCTGTCTCCCGTTCCCAGAAACTGCTACTGAATCACTGTGGTGCGTGTGTGCATGTGTCAAGGCAAGAATGAGGGGGATTAGTGTTGCAAAATATGGAGGTGTGATATTCAGTCACATATGTTTCCTTATATAACATCATGCTAACATTATTCCAAATAGGAATCCTTGTAATGAGTTTGGGCTGAAGGCGAATATACAAATTGATCAACACATATTATAGGGGGCTACTTTCAAACACTTTTCAATTAATTTATCTATACCAGTAGACGGTCACCAGCGTGATGAAGACAGAATTTCAGGCAGGCAGAAACCTACATGTAAAGGAACAGTAAAATACTGTAGAGGAAGACCACAGCTGAGCAGCTTTCGAACATGAAATGCACCTAACAAAGGATAGGACTGAAATGCACACAGAAGCAGGTCAACCTTCCGCATTTCAGACAAGCGGAAACAGCTGAAGGTGGCAGCTATGGCCCTGAGATCATCACACACATGAACGGAATGGTCACGCCAAGCAAAACTGCCCTGGACTGGAAGAAATTATAAGAATGAGACCCAAGGAATCCTAGTCTGCACCCACCATTTAAGTCCCAAAATCCTAGTGTTTTAATGAAGAGCTGTTTAAAACTTTTTCATTGATTATCATATTTATTGAAAAATGAAAAGGGCATGTTTTACCTTTATACAAATTAAAACATTACTTAAAATACTCTTAAGGACTCTTATATGCAAGGGATATCTGCCAAGCTAATTTCAATGTTGACTGCAATAATCAGAAATGTGTCTACAAAAATGTACATTTCAACAATAATCTATACTCATTAGCCACCAAGAACTCAGGTTGTATCCAATAGGAAAATTACCTTCATTCACTTTGACAGCCAAGACCACAGGTGAATGATTGTATTGCTTATCCATTTTCATAACATAGGTAAAATTTACTGAATTCAGCATAGGATTTAAAGGGTAATGGTTCCTTATATTGAATGATCACTGATTGTTATTTCCTGCTGTCAAGTTAGATTGGCCGTCACAAATACGTAAAAGGAAATAAAATATGAGGAGTATATTTATTTATAAATAATCATTCAATAGCAACCTTGAGCTTACTCAAAATTATGTACAACACCGAATACTGGAGCGTTCTTTTTACAGTTATGACTGTTTATGCCAGCAGAATAATACCCCCCCCCCACCACCCCTGTAGCAATGAACAGTCATCTGTAAACGAGATGTAGCCTAAGGGTGTCATGAAATCTCACAAGGCAGTGGAACCGGCGCAAGTTCATTATGCATTTGAGAACCGGCACGACGTGGACTGTGTAACAATCGACGAAGAGGTTAGTTAAGGGAACACAAACCTACCTTTGTTCACTCTTGGAAAAAAACGGATTATTTGCTCGGCTTTTCGTCCGCCTTGTGCAGAATACATTACGTGTGTAAATGTTGTTGAACCCCAGCGATTCTCTGCTGAAAGGTCACACACTCCCCTCGACCCCAACTGTTTCTCGGGCTTTGTGTCCTCAATGAAAAAAACGAGCTCTGCCTATAAACTTCGCATTTAAAAAGGCAAGTGCTGTCGAGAGGGACTGCTGCATGAGGAAACAATGGCAGCTTTTCGGACACACTTTTTCTCAGTGCGCGGAACAGCAGGGGATCCGGTTAGAGCCCGCTTATAAAGCGCTGATCGAACACAGCTGTCGGCTCTACTAACATTTCTAAAAAATATATATCAGATACATAGTGTTGCAGCGCCGCAACTGTTTTTAAACCGGTAAATGACCAGGGAGCTTTATATGATATGTTCCTTCTATATTCAAACACCTGTTTCTGTATTTATAATGTAATTATATAACCGTTTTCGACTTTAAAATTAAGATATGCCAATATAAAGATCGTGTAAAACATAGCAGGAAAATGTACACTACAAATAATTACTGCGATGAATTGAATAAACGACAGAGGCTCAGTGCTGAATTACTGATATTGATTTATGAACTCGTTACCCATGTTGACACTGGTTCACTATTCAAAATGCGACTGTCCTAATTAGTGACAGTTTTTAAAACTAATCGGAAACCTTTATAAGCTTCAAATTGTCGAACTTCCGTCACCGACTAGTAAATTAAAAGGGATGGAAGACAAAGGTATCCTGTTTTAAAGCTAATACGGAGTTTATGGTTAGCCTTCAAAAAATGATTCGGGCGTTTGTATAAGAGCGGTTTATGAATAGGGACCATTGATTGATGTTAGTGCGGGTGAAACTGTCTGAAAAGTAGCTATCTGGTATTGATACGATAGATCTTACAACAGATATTAAAGACCAACGAGCGCTCACTGTCAAAGGAAAGACAATATTTGGGCTGTGGACAAATTGTCAGTATTCACTAAAGCAGAGGAGAGCTTTTCTCTCTCTGCCTAGAGCCTCGTAGAGCATCCTTCATACACCGAACTACATGTCACAACGTCAGTCGGCCACAGCAGCTAAAATCACTTGTAAAGGTATTAATGATACCATTTTGTGCAGCAGAAGAGAAAATATCCTAATAGAACGCAAGTATATATTTTTAATAAGTAACGTTTGTCGGGAATGTCTTCTGAGTTTATTTAACTATAATTAATCAATGCAATCATAAAATTGATATACATTGTGCCATATACCTTTAGATGTTGATTAATTGGAATATTGATTTATCAAGTTCACAGTTCACACCGCCCATTCTTATTTTGACAGCCCTAGCAAACAGATGGCTTTGCGGACTGTCATTCATCTTAATAAAAAATTAAAATCATAAATACTATTAAATCCTCCCGACTGAAATCTACGAAGCATTGTTTTCGACAACGCTACATACAAATAACATAAAGTAATTGTTATCAAATTTATGTCCACCAGCTTGCACATAATAAACTATTTAAGTAAGTTACAGTACTCACGCTCCGAAGCCATTGTTATAACCGACTCAGTAGTTGCGTGATACTCATCCTCTTCCATGAATTCATCCTGTGAGGAAGCGTCTCCCTGGAAGTCATGATGGTCCAGGAGCTGCTGCAGCGGCGGCGCTTTAGGGAGCAGCTGGTTCACCACCTCACGGCTTATGTTAGGCGCCTGCTTGAGCCGCAGCTTGCTGAGAATCTGGGATTTGATCGTCTCCAGCCTCAGAACCTTGCTCTGTTCTCGCCAAACGCATGCTGAGCACTCATGCGCACCCGTTTCATCTACCTCTATTAGTGACAAACCGGCTTCTGTGGGTATCTCGCTTGCTGGTGGAAAGAATAGGTGAGGCTCGTCACTCCCGGATAGTCCCAAAGAGATGAGGACCATCAAACACAACAAAAAGTTATATTTAGGCATGATGCTGAATGGCTGGTGTCGGTCTTCCTTTCGTCCTCCCGTTTTCTTCTCCTAATGCCTTGCTCCACCGTATTTATTTTCTCCTCATAAAGATACCGGTGATCTGCGGCAATTCCAGTTTAATTACTTTCATGAATGATGCCTTACGTTTTAGTGCAGAAGTAGATGTTATTAGTACGCGCTCCAGCGTTTATCTCCTCAAATCACTCGAAATCAAATTCTTCAGTCTCAGAATTGGATTGGTTTGTTTTGGTTGTACCAACATGGAATAATGAAATCCACAACGTTCATATATTAAGATGAGTGAATGAAAAGTGTGCAAGCACGTCTAAAAAGGGCCGTTTATATATCACAGCTGCTCAGTGTCGTAATTCGTCTCTATTGGCTGAGGAAGCACAAAAGGCTCTCGGGTCTGTCACCAAGTCAAGAGCGAGAGGGAGGGAGTATATGCGGAGAGACAGAACGAGTTTGCTCGATGTTTTTTATGCATTGCAATATAAAAATGCCATAAACTGATACGCGTTTTCACTCACCATATAGGCAACAAAAAAACGGTACAAATGTATAAAATTGTAAAATATAATAAAATGATTTTACTTGGTAATATAAGACGTTGAATTGTAGTATGTCTACATTTATGGCATCTGGGCCAGTGTGTGAGTCTCTTTCAACCTGTTACTTCACCAAGTTTTAAATTGATAAGACAAACCATACTAACACTATACTAACACTTTAATTTGTAGCCACAGTATTTAGAAAAACAAATTAGTTTCAAAATTAGAGTATGATATCAAAATGTAAAGCTCAGTTCAACTGGTATCTGTATTATACCGTTTTCGAATGAAATTCAATACCATTTATTTTTACAATGCTGAATTTTGCGTTATTCATTTACTTGGCATGCAGGGTACAGAAGTTACGTGTATGGGTAAATTGCTTCTATATGACACTGTGAGTAAAGAAGCTAAGTATACGTAAACTACGAGTTTATGTACTGTTTCTCACAGAGATGTAATGGGCGAGTACTTTGATCAATTTCCCTGTTTTGGATCAAGTTACATTATTAGTTTAAAACTGATGATAATAATGGATTTATTATTATTATTATTATTATTATTATTATGTTCCATCAGAAACATATTGTGTGATTAATATTTTACACTATACTCAGATCCTGTCTTAGAGGTTCCTATTTGCAGATCTGACTAAGTACATCAGGTGGCGCTATTGTTCATATGGTACAGATCATACAACATTAAGGAAAAGAAAACGGTTCCGGAGTTCTGTTCCCGTAAAATTATCATAATAATAATTTAATTGGTTACAACATAAATACAAAGCATATAGGACATGCGCAATCATCATTCATGAATACAATATAAAATTCAGGAACAGGTAGACTATATTACAAAAAGAATAAATGCAGCACACGGCAGATATGCATAAAACATTGAGGAAAAAAATATCAAAATTTTGAACTCCAAAAATCTGCTTTTATCTTCTATGGAAACGGCAAATATTAACACGTTTAAACATAAATACCTTCTTACCATTTTGAGAATTCTTAATTTGTATAATTTCGGTAAAGCAAAATAATAATAATAATAATAATAAATGTAATTGAAGAAGTATATTTGGGAAGTTTGTTCTTCAAAATTGTTTTCCGCGTGAGTAGAATATCCACCTACATGAGTCGCTATGCTGTGAGGCACGCAGCCATTTTTAAAGGGGAGCCCCATACATTTGAACGTCTCTTTCTGCTAATTAGTGACTGTTTAACAGGATTGCACAGGAATTGTTCAGAACCAGAGAGAGGCAAATATGACTCCCGCAGAAAGAATCCGTTAGACTTTGAACTCTTAAGTTATAAATAAACATCAGGACAAAAAGGGTTTTTCTGGCACTACTGCCAATGTTATTGATTAACCTTAGTCTTTGTTTTCAAGTTTGAGGTATATAATTTATAACTTCCTACTTATGTTAGGTGTAACTCTACATAAAGGATTGTAATCAGACACTGTTCCATGTGGTTACTACTCATAGTGAATGCTGACTGCAAAAATGTGATTTTGATAGGCCCCGGGGTACTTGTGTCATTTCATGTGGCTTCTCTGTTTAACTAGCTGCCTGGTATTTTTCCCATTTCATTAGCCAGACATAGAAATAAAATATAAACTTCAAATTCTCAGTTTTGTACATCCAAACATATTCTTTTCTGGTAGCAAACCCAGGGGCGTGTGCCAAGTATTCAAATTCCTTTCCAAAGCAAAATTAGAAAAATTCTGAGTAGGACTGACAGAAGGTACAAACCCCCAGCCCCCTGAACGGAGTCGACCTTAACACCCTCTGTCTTGGTCAATGTGCTAAGCGGAGTGAGATCTTCACGCTTTAAGACTAGGTCTCCAAATTCGGACCATAACTCCACGTGAAGATTGAACAGTCTACATAAAGGACATTAATTCCTTAATCAGAAAGAAAATAATCAGTGAGTCATTGACTGTAGAATATCTGCAAAAATGAATGCAAATAGAAACCTTGGTTATAGCAATTATAGTAGGCCTATGTAATTAAAGTATTAAGAAGCAAGTCAGCTTTGTTTTAATAGTACAACTCTGGTGCTATCTGTATTACCATCACTAATTTATTATTATTATCTGTAAACATTTATTTCTATAATACTACTTTTCCAGATAGTCTAATAGTATATACTGTGTATTTTCTAAATTAGTTTTCAGCACATTGCTCAGTGTGTCTGTCTTTGCACTATATGAAGGTTTGTCTGTACACTGCATTCTTACTGCTCTATGCAGCAGAATTTCCATGTGGAATCAACAAAGTCAATTGTAATCTTAATTTTGGTGCTCACTGATTTCTGATCTAACTGGAAAAAAGGAACTTTCTTATGTCAACAAAGTCAACAGCCAGCATTATAGAAACCATAACACATGCATACATTCTTCTTTCTTTTTTTTTTGTTTCAGCAGTTACGTTCCACTGTACAGTATAAATAATAAATAGTGAAGTCAGCCAAGACATAAATAATGAATGTTCTAATAGTACACGGAATACAGGCCTTTATTTTTAAGGATTTCTATTGGCTATGTCAGCATAATTTTGAAAGACAGATATAACATGTGCAGAATTTCTTGAGAAATAAATCATCAGCAGTTTTCTATTGTAGTACTGTACCTCCATATTTCTGGGGCTCAGAGGACACAGGAATTGGTATTGTATGGTATGTAAGAAACATTAATAACAACTAAAAGTTATTAGTTCACATTGGAGAAGATATACACTGCTATACTGGTGTTGACAATCAATATTAATTGTTTATATTAGAATATCAATTTCAATAAACTGTTAAAGACTAAGTTTGGATGTTGTGTCCACATATATAAAATCATTTGTATGAAATATTTTCAACCATTGAAAACAGCCACTAAAGCAACTGTAAACCAGTAGTATTAGTCACTGAGCATCAGTGCCTACATGCAAAGCGATGCAATCATTTATTTTAAATTATGGTTTAATTTTTAAATTTCATAAATTAGCGAAAGCGAACATAAGTCTTCTAACGGCTCAGGACACACACACGTTGGGTCAGCTTTAAAATCTGAAGTAGAACATGCCTTTCAACTCGTAGCTCTGTATTACAGCAACCAAAACGTCAAAAGATATTTGTAAGTAGCCTTGAAGTTACGGTTCTCCTCCTCCCCCTTTCAGTACGGCCTCTGCCGTCCCACACAAACCGTTTTCATAGTCACAGGTTCACCTGAAATCCCTGAGCACGCTACACTGTGGCATATTTTGTCGCCCTTATATTCGTCATTATCATAAAGCAAAACTTGCCGGTCAATCAACATTATACATCGAAAACGTCCAAATTCCTTACATGTATATTTGTAAATCTACTTCAGTGCGTTGCATTCATTTCCCATGTAGGTCGCTGTGACAGATCGTGATAAGTGAGTTAAAAGTTTGAACTCAATGACTTCGAACCACGTGCTTCTGTCATAAAATTATATAAGAACTGAAGGGTGACGCCCACCGTATTAAACAGGCAACATGGCGGCAACCGCTAGGAGAGAACTGTAATGTAGCATTAGCCTTTAAGATCTTTGGATTTTTAAAATCCCTGGTGAAATTATTATTAGTTTATTTTGATAAAATGGGTGAACTGCTGACCGCACTCTGTCGCTTTCTTACGTAACCTTTTCATCGTTTTCTGATTGATTAAGATCTGATTGATTTTTCTTTCTCGTATAGGGGTTTCACTTCTTGCATCTTATTAAAGTATCTTATTATTAAATTCTTAATAAACGTCTGTATCTGGACTGAAAAGACAATAATCTCATTCTCTTTCCCTTAGAAAGCATTATGCAATACGTTCCTTATTCCTTAGCATGATGAATGAAGATTGTGTTTAATGAAAGTTCCTCAGCAAAATAATTAGAAGTACTACGGAAGATGAGCGCCGGTATTTACAGTGCAATGAGGAGAAAGGAAATATTTTTCACATAACTCGTTGGAGCGTCTTACCTGGCGTTTATAGCTTTGTTAATGTTATAGTCATGTGATAATATTTTCCTGGTTGTTATTGTTTCAGTCGTTACAGTGTACAGGCCCTGTACGCTTGTGATGAATTATCAGTCTGACTTTGTCCATAGCGTTGGAAAAGACATGCAAATGAAAATATACGTTCCTAAAAGGTCCTGGTGAATGTGGGTTCACTAAAATGGCGCGCCGGTGACTTACCGGGTTCAAATATTTATGTGAAACATCAAGTGGAATACACTGCGACCAAATATTTTGTATTTTGCAATACGTACATTTTAAGTAAAAAGAGTAACGCGTGTATTGGTCTTAAAATTGTAATTTAACTATGCTTACGTGTACATATCATGCATTTATTTTATACATACTCTATGCAATTTTAATTATATTTTGTGTAATGTGTTTGAAATTCTATAAAATGCCATAGGTATCCTGTAGATATGAACAGCTGATCAGTTACCCTCCTATGAATCCAAACAGGTTCTATCCTCCTCTGAAGATTATGTAGCCAACAACTGGGTGTGAAGGGTAGAAGTAATTCAGTTTCATGAATTCAGTAATTCATGTTTTTCCGGAATCATTTGGAGATATAGAAAATTAATTTTGAATTTGTCCACTAGGGCGGCTCCACCAACTTTTGTGCCAAGAGCTTTCGGGGATCTGAAGAAAGATCTCAGTAAGAAAGCAGAGTCCACACTTCACCAAGAATTTGCTTCTTCAGAATTGCAGTTCATTGGTGAACCATGGAGTTACTCTGCTGCAGGGAGGGAAAGTAGGGAGATAAGGAAGCCTTTTCACTTCCTGAGCTGTAAGTTGTTTCCCAGGGAGATGAGGTATTCAGTAGCAAAGAAAGAATGTCTTTAAGTTAATTCGGCCGTTGGCTCTCTGTGCCGCTACCAAATAGGGGGAATTTTATATTAGAGATCTCTGCAGTGGCTTCATAAAATGCAGGATGCCAATGTGTACATCACTCCTAGTGAATGCCAATGACTGTATTGTTTTAAGGAAGGTTGTCTTAGGGCAGCCCCCAGGCTCGTTTAGATTTGCAGGGATGCTGTACCCAGGGTGGCAACCAGATCAGCTGCAGTCCAGATTCAAAAGGTGGCGCTGCTCCTTTAAAATTGGCTCAGACTCGAATCATATAGATAATATATTTATAAGTTATTCTTATAACGTATTAACTTGTAATTTAAGGGAAGTACGTTTTTCATTATTGTAAGCAACATGTTAATATAAAACACTAAGCTACAATATTTGGGTTACATTTTCAAATGACACATGAATGAATGCATTTCAATATCTTTTTCAAGTAACTTATAACAAGCAATTGTGACCAGTGTCATACGCCATTAATGACCCAACCGCCTCAATTTCTCTCTCTGTAGCTGGCTGACTTTCCAATCACTAGTGATAAATGATAAAAAATGTAAATTCCATTTGGCTCGTTGCACTGCAGTTAGATGCTGATGTACTTAATATATGACACTTTCCATCTCAGACCACGTCCATTAGTATGAGCATCTACTAAGTGAGTATAACATCAGACTCACAAGGTAACTATGGTCTAATTTACAGAACACGATATGCCTGCTTCACCCAAACATAAAGAATATTTATAACAGAGATTTCACATGGATTTGTGAGGAAAGGGAAGCAAGATAATGTTTCATATAAAATTTCTCAGTGTAACCAAAAGATTATTTGACTGTAGAATCAATCTACTCATTACTCAGCATTAACATGCTCTTACAGTAGAACCAAGTTTGAGGTAAAAACTCTACTGTAACTTCCATCCATCCATAATGTTGGAATATGTTTATGATGAGTCTCAGTCAGTTACAATCCACTTAACAAGTATGAAATTATTCGTTTTACATATTATATACCCGAACTCTGTGAGTAAGCCATGGATTTAACAAGCCTGTTATCAATATCACTAATAATCTAAACCCAAAGCCTTGATTTAAAGAAAGAAAAGAAAAACTCACTCAGTACTGCCATCACCTGGCAAACAGTAATTGTAAAAAAATCTCTCCAATCTACAAAACATATACCATTATGTGCTGGAAATTCGTTTATTGCATGGTAGATACACACTCAAAAATAAATGGACAGCATAAACAGCTTTTGAGAATTTGACTCCTGAATATTGTGTACTAGTAAAGCAGGCTTTCCTGTGGAAATATTTTTTGCAATATCACAACTTCTTAGGTACAATCCGCATTCTGTATATATCATAATTTATTTTAGGAATTATTTATATCCTGTACTCTCCTCCTTTTGTCTGGTTTATTGTATTGCTGTTTTTAATATCATTGTTACTGTTTCTTTTCTTTTTTTGTTAATCACTGACAAAGCAGCAGCAAAATGTGTTATACACTATTTATTGGACCATTATAAGATTTCTTCAGAAAATAACAATCTATAAAATCTCCAGTTGTAATTTATCTTGAAAATTATTGAAAATATAAAATCATTAAAATTGTCTCAAAAGATGTAATATTCAAATCAGTCAAATATGATTGTGTCACAAAACAGAAACCTCAGGAGGCACCCAGCTGTGAACAGGACTGGAATTAGCCAGGATTGAGGTTGTGGTCACAGAGTGAGATGGCCAAGAGCCAGAGGGGGAAGCCGGGGAATCGGGACAGGATGGGAGCATGGCTGGCAGGACGGGTCAGAGACAGACAGGCGACAAAGTAAGCACACTCAGTATGTCTCATTCACTGCATGCGAGGCAGCCTGGGGTTTTAAAGGTGAGCGTCAGGTGTTGCTACTCAGGCACGATGGTTTAGCGTACTCAGAAGGGAGGGCATGACCCGAGGGGTTCAGGGACTACCAGCAAGGGGTCGAGGATGTCTGCCACAGGTACCCAGGTCTGCTCCTCTGGACCAAAGTCGCCTCATTCCACCAGCTACTGCAGCTTACCCCATTGATGCAAGGAGTCCAGGAGGGCCTGGATCGCGAAGCCTTCACCATCGTCAAACAGAACTGGGGGCAAAGGTCCCTCGATATCCCCTGGAAGGTGGCGAGATCCGGTAGATACAGGTCAGCTGCAGGCAGAAGGTCGTGAGCCTGACCTGGTGAAAGACGCAGCATGGGCTAATGTACTTAGGGGACAACTTACAACAGCCAGGGAGGTGGAAGTTCCTGATGGAGAGCCAGCTTTGCTGGCTGGACTGGAGGGCTGGTCTGGGGTTACAGTGGAGGTGTGCCTTCTGCCAGTAGGACCAAGCTTGGAGTAGCCAGTGGGCTTGCCTCCGCACAGTCCAGCATCAGTGATACCATTCGTATACTGAAGGGATTGCACTGAGATGGGAGAACCAGGGGAACAGGGGTGGTTGGTACCCCAGAATGCACTGGAAGGGCATGAGGTCGGAGTCTGGCTGAGAATGGGTGTTTTGGATGTCATGAGCTGACTGAGATGGACTGGAGGCACACAGTAGCTGAAGGGTCTTTGTGGCCTCCTGGTTTACCCACTCCGTGACACCATTCGTCTGAGGGTGGTAGCTGGAAGACATGCACACAGAGATTTTAAGGCGGGTGCAGGAAACCTGAAAGACACTCGCAGCAAACTGTGACCCCCTGTCCGACACAATGTCCTCAGGTACACCATAGTACCAGATCATCAAGGTCAGGGGGAGGTTGGCCAGCTCAGAAGTGATTTGTAGCGTGGGGAGGAGTACCAGCCAGCACATTCATGACAAGCAGTCTACCACTGTGAGGATGACAATGTTGCCCTGGGATGGGGGAAGGTCGGTGATGAAGTCCATGGCCAGCTGCAACCAGGAATGGTCTGGCGTGGGAAGCAGCTGGAGTAGGCTGGCAGGCTTCTGATTGCTGACTCTGTGATGGGTGCAGACCGAGCAGGACACTCCAAACTTCTCTACTTCTTGTCTCCAGTTGGACCACCAGTATTGATGGGTGAGCAGGTGGGCAGTGACAGGAATGTCAGTGTGGCCAGAGGCAAGGAAGGTGTGCACCCACTACAGTGCAACAGAGCAGACGACAGAAGGGGCAAAGAGCTTGCTGGGAGGGCAGTTGCCAGATGCAGGCTCCTGGTGCTGGGCTTCACAGAGGGTTCCTTCCAGGTCCCATGTCACCAGCCTCAGGAAGCGGAACTGCAGGAGAATTAGGATGGGATTGTCATGCACCACCATTGGCACAACCAGAGGTCCACGTTGAGGTTCTTTGCCCCAGGAATGTAGGAGACCTTAAACTCAAACCTGGTGAAAAAGAGGGCCCATCAGGCTTGAGGGGGGTTATAGCATTTAGTTGACCTCATATATTCCAGTTTTTGGTGGCTGGTGAACACCAGGAAGGGATGCACTGTGCCTTCCAAGGGCCAGCTTCATCACAAGAAGCTTGTAGTTCCAGTTGTCATAATTCCTCTCTGCCAGTGTCAGCTTCCATGAGAAGTAGGGGCAAGAGTGCATTCTTCCTGTCTCTCCCTGTCGCTGTGACAGGATGGCGCAGACCCCGACCTCCGTGGTGTCCACCTCCATGACAAAGGGGGTCAACAGGTCAGGCTGCTGGAGGATGGGCACCTCCTTGAGGCGCCAGAGAGCTTCCTTAGCTTCAGGGTCTAGCAGAGTGACTTTCATCAGGGTGGTGAGTGGGGTTGTGACCAAGCAAAATCTCCAGATGAACAATGGTAGAAGCTGGCAAAGGCAAGGTTCTGGAGCTCCTTCACGGTCCGGGGCCAGGGTCAATCCCAGACAGTTTTCACCTTCTCCTCATCCATCCCTACTGGTTGAATCTGGTACCCTAGGAACGTGAGGACAGACTAGTGGAACTCACTTTTCGCCTTTGACAGACAGGTGTTGGTCCCGGAGGTGCTGGAGCACCCGTCACCCATCGATCATGTCCCATGCGTTGGTCAGTGGAAGAAGAGTAGATTAGGATACTGTTGATATACACAATGGTGAACCAGTTCAGCATATCAACCAGGATCCTGCTCATGAAGCCCTGAAAAATGGAAGGGCTGTTGGCCAACCCATAAGGCATCACAAGATATTCATACTGATGCCATAGCCTTGCCATGATTAAGGCCATCTTCCAGTCATCCCTGGCCTGGATGCGCATCATATTATAGGCATTGTGGAGGTCCAGCTTGGTAAAGATACACTCCTCACAGAGCTGTTCTAGGGCTGATGGGATCAAAGGCAGCAGCTCATGGCGCTTCTGAGTAATGGCATTCAGAACCCGGTAGTCCATCTGCCCCGGGGCCTCATCCCGGTTGGACATATCTGAAATACCTCTCCAAGAAGTCGTCCAGGAGGCATCCTAGATAGATGCCTGAACCACATCACCTGGATCTTTTCCATGCAGAGGAGCAGTAGCTCTATTTTGAGGCTCTGCTGAATGTCCAAGCTCCTCCTACCTATCAATAAGGCTGAGCCCAGACACCCTGCAGTGGAAACTCATTTCTGGCATTTGTATCTGCAGTTTTATTCTTTCAGTCACTGCCCGAAGCTGGTGACCATTGGTGAGGGTAGGAACGTAGATTGACTGGTAAATCAAAAGCTTTGCCTTCCTTCTTGGCTCTGTCTTCACCACAACAGAATGGTAAGTGCATCCACATAACTGCTAACGCTGCACCAATCCCTCTGTCAATCTCCCACTCCCTTCTTCCCTCACTTGGGAACAATTAGTCCCCAAGATACTTAAATACCTCTACTTAAAGCAGGAACTCATTGCTTACGAGGAGAGGACAATCCACCCTTTCTCGGTCAAGATCCATGGCCTCAGACTGGAGATGCGGATCCTTATCCTGGCCGCCTTGCACTCAGCTGCAAACTGCCCCAGTGCATGCTGCAAGTCACAGCCTGACAATGCCAACAGGACCACATCATCTACAAAAAAAAAACAAAGATGCAATCCTGAGGCCCCCGAAACGGACCCCCTCTTCCCCTTAGCTATGCCTAGAAATTCTGTCCATAAAAGTTATGAACAGAATCGATGACAAAGGGCAGCCCTGATGGAGTCTGACTTACTGCTGGTAATGCTAAGCAAACTCTCGCTCCATTTATTCAAGGTTCTGATAGCCCACAACAAGCTATTTGCATATCCAATCAACAAAGAAAGCATTTCAAGTCCCACCCCAAAGTACCAAAATTAGTACCCCAGCTGGTTTGGCACTTTTGGCGCTTTTCCACTGTATAGTACGGCACAGCACGGTTCAGACCAGCTCACCTTGGTTTGGCTCAGTTCGGCTCGG